GCAAAACCGAAACACAGTATTCACCTGACAAAAGTTTTGAAAAAACTTCTCATTTTTAATCCTACTACTCAAGACACTACAAATGTTGATCTAATTAATCAATATCCCTTGAGTTGATAAACATTGACTTTCGTATAACACGGTGATTTGTAAGTCTGAAGCAAAGCTGTCATTTGAGTGAAAATAAATTGGTATTCTTGGTTGAAACGAGAGTTAAGCATTTAAATTTAAAATGTGTAGGCCTATTTCAGAATGCCTATTTATCAATACTCTTAAACCAAAAATTCAAACTACTTACTTCACGTTGAATATTTCAAAGTTAACTTTACAGAAACAATTTTACAATAATTTCATATTTCTATGTAAATTTACAAACTGTATTAAAAATAAAATTATTTTTACTATAACACAAAAACAGGCGGCACTGACTTCTGTTCCAAGCCGATTGAGATCCGGCGTAACAAGAACCACAGAAAGGCATATTTTAGAGTGGCAATGCCGCCTCGGGGAGAGATAGAAATAACATTTAGTGCGTTAAACTACTTACTGGTATTAGGTGAATGATAAGCGTAAAAAAATACAAGTTAGCATACGGCCTGGTTTGTGTGGTACCTTATTTACAACTTACAAAGGGAGAAGTATAAACATATTTACTAAAATATCACAATTTTGGCAAAAATGTTCATAAAAGTTTTTATCGTTAACTATTAGGAAAATAAAAACGAACTTGGCAAATAAAGTGTATTTCACATTAGTTTTATTAATATATATCATATATAACACAACAAGCTTTCGCAATGTAGTTTCCACAAGGGTAACTGATAATTCGCGGAACAGTGGTTAGTGGGTCTATAAAATAATTTTACCAAAATGTGGTTTAGAGAATTGTTTCTAATGTTAAGTTTGGTATAGTGTCAACATTCTAGGCTATAAATTTTGAAAAATTCTTGGATATGTATAGTATATTTTTAAATTTCACTTGTGAAAAATCAAATAAATGATTAAAAATGCAAATGTGTAAATATAAATTTATTTACACAATTAAAAGTTGCATTTATTTATTTATTCCATTTTAAACACTACACAAGTACCGATTATTCATACTTATTCACTTTTGAAATCAACATTTTTATTCTTATTCAACTTCCTAGCTTGTAATACAACAAGTAAACACAAGTACTTTGTTCTAAAAATCTAGTTCAAATTTAATAGTCATGGGATTAACATTTCACCTTGATTTACTCCTTCGCGGTTTACGAACTATCGGATCGATATTAGAAGATTGTCGACTTCATGGTTGATACGTCACGTCTGAATACTATCAAACAATTTACTTGGTTGTTTTTTTTGTTGTTGTTGTCGTTTGGTTTTTTTTGTAATATTCTTATCTAGCCTTCACGCAAAGCACATCAAAATAAACGTGTTTAGTGAAAATGATTGTCAAAGAGGAACTTTAGATTATGGCAATTAAATGTTAATCCTAAAATCGAAAGTCCATCGTGCAGACATAAGTGGCAGTTTTGTTCATCATAATACATGGCAAACTATAAAAAAATACTAAACTACGTGTTTTTTTAGCGATAAGTTAGCATTAAAAGAATTCGAACACTACAACTTTAGTACTGATCAGATTATTTCGTGCAGAGAATAATTCATTTGAAAACTGGTATAGCGGATTTTCTCTTCTTCAAAGTTGCCACCCAAACATGTCAATTTCTTTACGATCGATTCACGACTTTAGAGAGTTAAAAACTAGAGGGCACTATAATATTTTTTTCTGGACTAGTTATTTTGCACAGTCAACCATACACTCTCCAACATATTATAGGTTATAGCCCACTTTTTTTCTGTCCATATATTTGAGTTTAATAAACATAATAAAGTTATGAATTTCACAATCAAAGTACACTTTCTCTAGCATCAAATGATCTATTAACAGCAACACCAAATTCAACGTCGCCTTTCGACAAAGTAAGAATTCAAATAAACTGCTATATTACTCTGAATGTAACGTTCACATCATCTAATTAAAGTATTTTTAAAGGTAAAGATCAAGATAAAAAATCATCTTAGTACTTAAGCTTACTTTATATTTAGAATGTATGGATAATCCCAACCAAATTTATGATCCGGATGGATTATTGTTATTCAAAATATTTATTTCATTTAATCTGTAAGTCAAGAATTATATATGTATTATATTCCGTCCAGTTGTAATAAATTTCATTCCAAAAATACGTACACTAGAATATTTTAATAAGTACACATACCGATTCACATTCAATCCCGGTACAGAAAAATATACACACTAAGTCGACGCTTAACAGTTCCTTTCTCTTCTAAACAATTTTTAAAATTCTAGGGAGTTTGTTTCTTAAGATATGATATCTGACTAAAAGTAGTAAAATAAAATATATCTACCTGAAAAAGAAACCATTTTCAGCATAGTGATTGATCTTTTATTCTTAAATAAAAAGTCTGATAATGCGTCATACATCCAGTACGTAACACTCGCACTGCCATAATTAACCTAATAAAAAAAATCCTAAATAAGCTTATAAATTTATTAATTTTGAATGCTACCCACCAATTTGTTAAGCAACTTCGTAAAAAAATAAGTAATATTTGGTATGTAACCAAAATTGAATCTATTAAACGTATTTTAAACATTATATAATATGCACTTAATTGTTTGTAGATTTATTGTCGATTACAGGATCGATAAGAAAATACGGGTCACACACACACAACCACCATCAGTATTGCACTTAATTCCACTAATTAGTGTGGGAAATCTTAAGTAACTTGCGTAGAAAATGGGTGATTTTATCCAACTATTTTGGTCAGTGCTTTACAATGAGTTTTGTAATAGGGGGAAAAAAAGAAGATAATATAACCCAACATGATAGAATACGTGGACCCTATCAGTAGCAAACGGTATAAAAAGAAGTCAATAAATCTCACATATTTCTTTATAATACCCAAAAGGGTATGTGTAATGCATTGTTGTTTCTCGGACTCAATAACAGACGTGAAAAGGGTGGAGATCGTCTCAGGAATGAAAAGAGTGATAGTTCAGAAGCCAGAGGTGGTGATAGGTGACAAGTGGCAGTTTACAACCGCCTTTAACCTTGTGGATAACAATGCTCTTGCTGCAAGTATTGATGTGTTTTTGTTGTAGATAATTAAATATTAATATCAACGTTTTGGGTACATATGCCTTTTCGTAAACGTTTTGAAAATTACAGAAGGCTGAATACCATCATGTGAAATACTACAGCAACATGATTTTGAAATAGTGTCGATTTTGGAATTTCACGTGTCTCTGATTATTCTTCTGGAACATATTCCCTTGAAAACAAAAAATAACCACACATACATATCACATCTTATATTTTTGTATTCAAATCACGTTATCGTTTCTAACGATACACAATTACTTGGCCCTAGAAGCGGCATATTCGGAAAATGGATGAAAAATTCGAATCATTTGATAACAGAAAAACAAACAATTTTCGACGAGACATAACAACAACAACACTCTAATAATTATTTTGTGAATTTAGAAAATTCATACACTTGGCGTTAGTTCAATCGAATTCACGAAACCTGCATGCTTCGTTATGCTCATTAGATAATGGCTTAAGAACAGGAGTGAAATAAGCAATACGTAACCGTCTTTATCATAGTGAGAACATGGATCATTGCCCTCATAATACACCACTTTAAGCGGTGTTTCGAGAATAGTATGTACGAAATGAAACCCAAGTAAATATACACAGACATTTGAAAGAACTAACACTACATATGCAAACTTTCGATAAATTAC